ACTCTTTCCAAAATAATCATCTTGCAGCATTCTGAAGGAGTTTTTAAATCAATGCAACAGCTGGATGCTCAACATAATGCCCATAGTTTTTCCTCTCACAATATATAACACTCAGATGATTACCTATAAACTTGCTGTCTCCAAATAATATAAAAATCTACCAAAAGACCCACCATCTTTCCTATTCCCAACACCAATTGGTTTAATATAAACCTGGGTAAATTACCGATTCAAGTAATTAGATAATATTTTTTCCTTTGGACTTTGAGATATGCAGCCTATACGGGCTACAACAGACAAGACAAATACAATATCTCTCCCCTATTACCTTTGTATATGCTAAAGTGTCTCCTCAGATGGCCCTGGATCTAGTCCAAAACAACAATTTTGAACCATGATTTCCATCAGACTCTAAATTCTGCAGATGTTCAGTCAGCTTCTCTTTAAAGATTTAATCACAGTCTTTAAGCCACACAATCAGAAGCACAGACAAACTGTCACATAACCCTTTTATAATCTGATTACACTAAAAGAATCTTTGAAAATGCTGGTGTATATGTTTTTATACTACAGATCTCATTTAAAAAAGGAATGGGTACAAATTACGAGGGTATGACATGTCTTCCACAGAAGGGATGAAATATGAATACTGTGTAAGCACAACTATGTTTTTCTTTAACAAAGATAATCAAAGCACAGTAGAAGGACACCCACTGAGATACAGCAGCATCCTGCTGGGTAACATTTAGCATTGATCCTCAATGACAGCCCCTGACAGATTGTTTCTGCATCAGTCGCCATATAGAAAGGGGGACTCATGTGATCATACATTTCTACCCAATGACAAACAGTGTATCAAGCAGGTAGCACAGTATTAGCATGTTTCTGTGACACTACAGGTTATATTACATGCCTATAATACAGAAAGTTGATATGGACAGAGATACCAGGTCTTTTTTTCTGATTCTGAAACTGCTAACTTTGGGCTCAGATGAAATCCCGTTACAATAAGCAACATTGTGACTCTGAAAGTACTTGCAGAAAGACAGTTGTTACATTAGTAATGAAATAAGAAACCTGCAGATTACTTGGAACAATTCTTGTGAACAATCTTATTTATATTTTGCATTCAATATTCCCACTCAAAAATGGTCACTTGGTACACTGCTGATATGCAAAACCAAAAAGTGAACCATAGAGAACTTGAGCAGCAAGTGTTGACTATCAACTGCCATAACTGGAGTCTATTCCAGTAGCCAGCATATGTAAAGTGTGAATATATTGAAAACCCATTAAACAAAACTTTTTATTTTTTTTCAAACTTTAAAAAATATATATCATTTAAAAGTTTACATTATAATAATGGGCCAGCCTCTTAGTTTGACTAAATTGAGGATGGAACTATTTAATTTTTTTATTGGTTGTTTCTGGTTTAAACTGAAATCCAGAATTGTATTGCAAAGAAACATGTGATCACTGGTACTATGGCTCCTCCAAACATGTCATCAGTCATAAGAAGAACAAATATTTTATTAGTAGTTTCTTCATCTACTCATAATGTACTAGTTATTGCTAGAAATTTTATCTGAAAAATGCATTCATTTTCAGACATTATTGCTGCCTTGAGGGAATGATTGTAGGAGCAATGTCAAATCACAGCAAGCTTTTGAGCATTATGAATGTGCCTATGCTTAAACCATAAGTGTAGGGAGGAGGTAGGAAGACTGGGGACATTCAGACCTAAACAACTCTAATTAAAGAATGGCTTCCTAAACTAATCTCTTATCTGATTGTATATTAAATGCCCACTGTTTGTTTTCCATAGGGGATAAATGATTCCTTTTTATTATGGGAGACTTTCTTTTCACCTTATGTAAGCAAACAATTAGGGAAACTATTCTTAGGCAAGTATAAGTAAAAACTGAAGACCTTTGTACATATATTTTCTTATGTTTTACTCATTTTCTTAAGTACAAGATTAGGGAGAGGATATTAGGCTCATAACATCACATTAACTTCAAATCTCCTGCTGGCCTCAGACATTTCCTATTGACCACATGTCCTGCAAATATGTCTGTAGGGAGTGAATAGGTAGAATACAAATAATAATGCTTACTGGTTTTAACAATATTGTGAATATCCTGTGCAGTTAATATCCTGCCTTAAAACATGCTTTAAAATTACCAAAAAGGTAAAAGAAATTATTTTTGACTGGAGGATAAATAGCTATTTTGCTCAGTTTTATGGATAGGCTGAGGAGTGTGAAATTGCCCCAGAAACATTCATGTGAAATTTAAAGAGAGAAATTTCCATAGTTTACACCTCTCTAGAGGTATGGACAGTCAGACCAAAACATACACTTGCTCCAAGGGCAACAACAATCAAACATTGCCCAAGACCTAAAATATTGCTTGAGATTATATTATGCAGTTCAAATTTATTTTAATGTGAGGGCCTTAGCATTATTGCTAGTGCTCCAAGAGCACATTGGTATTTTCGCACTTAATGTTACCTGTTGAGAAAAGACTTTGCTCCTTTCTCATCATTAGTAGTGTTGTAGAGCTATTATTGTAGCTGTGATGGTCTATTCTAAGGAATACATGAGAAGTAAGATTCATGAGGTGAGGTAATATCTTTTATCGAACCAGATTTATAGTTGGGAAAGATCCTAGAAAAACTCTCAGACACAAAATGCCTTTCCTTGCTTCTTTTCCAGCCCTTCTTGCCTTTCACATAGGAACAGTAGGTGAAGAGGAAGAAATGCTTTGTATCTTGGCAGGAACAGGATTCAGGGAGGTGGTTTGGGGATTTTGCTTCCTTTTTGGGGAGGTATATTGTGGGGGTATATTTCTTGGGTGGAGAGGGTGGAAACCCTGGGGTTGTCTCTTCCCAAAGTAACAGTTTTCAGTGAAAGGGCTGGGTTGTTTTGTTTTACCAGGAAGAGAGCTTCTAGAAGATGTCATCATAGGAGATTTCCTTCATCATATTGAATGCCAGTAACAATAGCTGTTTGTTCTCCTACCTACCTAAACAGACAATAATATGCATCTGTTGTTATTATAAAGCCCATTCTTTTCTTTCCTCACTTCCCTCTATAACACTTATAGCTTTCTGTCTTCACACCTTTTGTGACCCTGACTCAAAACCAGGGATGGGAATGATGAAATTGCACCATTTACCAGACACCACAGACTTGGGTCATCTCTCTTGTCAGACCACAGTGTTCTGCCATCCTCTGTGGAATGTCACACGATTGACACAGAAGAAGAGCAATATCACAGCCTATGGCATGGCATTCCCCATTGGCAGAGGGGAGTTGAAATGCTCTGAATGAAGGTAGTGATGTTAACATTAAAAGATTTTTTGGCCTTATAGGGAAGAAAACTTAGAGGGGACACAGGACCCAAAGAGAAAAATCATCCTAGATAACAGCTCCAGACTTTGGAAAATGGCAGAATGACCCAAATGGTTAAGACATAGTTGTGTTTCCCCCCCACATTTTTCCTTCCTTTCCTTTTCTAGATGCTCATGCATCAGAGTTCATCAATGGCCTAAAAAGCTTTTGATGCAATGAAATGTATCACAGCTTTCACTTCGTCCTTATTTTTTCTAGCAACAACACAGGAACAACTAGTTTCTACATACAAGTAGAAAAAGAGTGTGACCCTTAGTCCATCCTCTTCTTTTTTTTTTACATTATGTTACTAAAAATAAATGCATGATTGTTCCTAGCTTAAGGCTTCACAAGAAAATATTCAGCACAATAGAAAGAATTAACTGTGAACCTCCCGCTGACTTTAATGAGAATAGCATGGTTAATTTCCTGTGTTGCATATGCTGAATATTTACTCCTATATGTCAAGTTTCAGTCTAGAGTAAATTTTTAAAGCTAAGTCATAATGGGAACACTGACGCAACCTTAATTGCAGCATCATAAATGGCGCAGCTATAATAAGAATCCAGCATAAATATGTACAGTATAATTAGACTGGGAGGCAGTAGTTTCCACGGTCATAGCATCTTTTGGGGTTTTTTTTATTTTTTACCTCCACCCCCTCATTATTCGCATAGATAATGTTTGGAAGAATTGCATTTAACTCACTAGACCAATATGGCTACAACCTGGATACCATTTAATTCACATGAAATTCCACACATGCTGCAGTTTATGGGCAGAGGGCTATTTTTGGTTTTGCTTTCTGTTATTATTTGTGAGTCCAGAGGAAATTACAAGCTGGATGCAATCAGGTTCTGTATAGTTAATTGCTTTCAAAACTGAATGTTAGCTGGCAAAGTAGTTGTTTATTAGCTTGTGAGATCTTCCTCCTCTGATGGACTGCTTCACTCATCAAGCTGGATAATGAAAAGGTGGTAGTTGCCAGAATTCTGCAGTTCTAGTCCAGATATTTTATAAGGTAGCTTGAACCTACCTGCTTTCTTAACTTGCTGGGTATCTGGATTCTTTTCATTTTAGCTAGCAGGTGTTTAGACTTGACTTCTACCAAAGAACAAATGTATACTTTCTTGTTAGAGGGGCAGGTTTCAGCACTTTAAGGTGATGGGCACCAAAGACACAAAGTACTTGAAGCTTCCCCTCTTTTTGGGGAATCTGTGTACATCCCCAACAGTAAGCTGCAATGGGCAAGAAGAGGGTGGGCATTTTCCTTGAGCAACCTTCACCAGCAGACCAGACGTCTGTAACTACAGCTTAAAACCACCCTCCGCTCCTGTGTCAGCTGGTAGAAAGTAGGTTTATTCTGAAAAAGTGTGACTTTTTCTCAGGATTACCTATGGTTACATCTCTCTTTCAGAGAAATTCATAGGGCAATGAAACTGTATCTTCCCCTTGTACTTGGCCTTGGTGAGGCCGCAGCTGGAGTACCGTGTCCAGTTTTGGGCTCCACAATTCAA